TTTATTGTCGACTGTCTCTGACAATGGGTTCGTCTAAGAATCTGAAAAGTTGGGCCAATAAAATTCCTGTTTCATTAACCGCATCTTCATCTTCGTCCTAGATCACTATTTCACTTGTTTTGCCTTCTCGGCAGAATAAAATATTGCCTACGAAAAGATGTGGGGATGCGAATTCTAGGCTCTTCCTCAGAGCAGAAGACTCGATCTTCAGAGCCATATTACTCTATGGATGGACTCCTGTACAGGTTCAAAGGCTCCGACTATTATACTATTTGTCCTGGCAATTGACTCTTCTTCTTTGAGCCAACTATTCATTGATTATAAAAGATAAAAAATGCCTACATTCACTCTTTCGGAATGTAGCCACTGTCAAACAAGCACGCTCACTTATGACTTCACTAGTTGACCCAGAATATAAAGCTAACATAATCAAAAATATACTTGGATCGTTCCAAAAATGAATTCTCAGGCAACAAGTAAATCATCAGATTGCTTTTGTTCTTCGGTTGCAAGTATCTCGTTTATAGTTGAAAATAATCTTTAACTGCTGATGAGACTACGGTAGGTGTGCTAACTTATGAAAAGTAAACCGAAATTTTGAAATGCATTTTCGTTCCGAAAAAAAACTACTTAAGAAGGATTGTAAAATTAATCCTCTGACAGCATAATTCTATAATAATTCAGTTACCTATGGATGCCGGCTTTCGAGCAAACTTCTTTCCGGTCGCATGCAAAGACCACACTCTGTAAAAAAATGACTACTTAAGTAGCAGGAATTTTTATCATCTATTTTCGATGCCCTTAAAAGTTTAATTATATTTCATGGCAGACATGCATAAAAATATTCATTCTTTTATTCATTTAATGGAAAGCAACGTGTTCTTTCAATTTTACACTCGAAAAGCGGGTAGAACTCGGTCCTTAAAGACTTTTTCAACCCCAGAATAATTTTGAATCGGACCTGCCGTTAAACTTGCATTCAGGGTTTCCATACTACAAGCCATACATTTTCCGCGTACGGGAAGCCACGCATTCCTCTACGGTACTAAGAGAAGACTATATGGGGTTTATAAAATTTAGCGGTGCATCTGAACCATATTGTATACCTAATAAGCAGCATTAGTAAATGCAACGACACGAGGTTTAGTGAGCTGCATTTCACGGTCTTAAAAATATCATAAATAGAAACTTTTTTAAAACCAGATTGTTCACTTGCTTTAAGCATAGAATTTGAAAAAGACATAATATGCTACCATATAACTAACAGGATGAATATTTTTATTCATGTCTGCCATAAAATATAATTAAACTTTTAAGGGCATCGAAAATAGATGATAAAAATTCCTGCTACTTAAGTAGTCATTTTTTGCAGAGTGTGGTCTTTGCATGCGGGCGGAAAGAAGTTTGCTCGGAAGCCGGCATCGTGAAGTAACTGAATTGTTATAGAATTATGCCGTCAGAGGATTTATTTTACAATCCTTCTTAAGTAGTCTTTTCAGAACGAAAATGCATTTCAAAATTTTGGTCAACATTTCATAAGTTAGCACACCTACTGTACAGAAGGTGACATGCACTATTTATCCGTCACAACTCTAACGAACTACGTTCCTGGCATTTCAGTGTTACTTCGAGTCGTGCTTAAACACGATTATGAGCCCGTCAAGAGAAAATTTAATGCTGATCATACAACGAAATCGCGCTCAACAGGTTGGCCGAGAAATCAAGTTTTTTTTGAGTAGACGTACGTTTCCTTCTTCCTCTCATACAAATCGCCGTAATGAGTTCAACACACTTGGCATATTCTGCCACATCGATGCCGTAGGAAGCCATGCACGTGCGCGTAAGATGTTTGTACAGACTGTTGGCACTGGCATTCTCGCCGTTCTGTGATACTGATCGCGCCGAAGGGAATGGGCTAACCGATCGAGTCTCTTGCCTTAAGAAGAAGAAGAAGTAAGTATATCAGAACACCAGAGCCCGGAACCGGTTTAAAAGCCGCATGCTGCTTTTCACTAAAACTTCACTTTAGTCGTAAATGTGCTGCAATTGGGTGCGGCAAGCGGACATTTAAAGGAGAGTTACGATGAATAGACGAGGACAGATGTGGCAGCTCACCGATCATGACCAACAAAAGTGTCCGCAATCTTTCATGACAATATTAATTTTATTAAGCTTATAAGAGCTCAACATAGAATCAGCCGAAAAGATCACCTGGATTTTTGATAATCAGAGGTAGTTATTAGCCTCATTTTTGCCGGAATCATTCTCCGAAGGCCCTTGTAAACCACTCGACATTTGTTCAGAATGGTAGCTATACAAATTCTTGAAACTAAAATTTAAACGTACCGGTAGACTCCTGGCGTCTGATTGTGCCACTTTCGTCCTGGTTTTTATCGTACCACATTACCATGCAGCCGCCAACAGGTCACAGAGGCACCACAAAGCCACGAGACCCTCGTCCACATATAACGGCGGTTGCATGCGCCAGCTGCCTCTTCTGTTATTGCAAAAGATGACTTACTTCCTGAAGATGCACCTTCAGGGTTCTCACGCATCGACGGCCGTTCACGCACCAGCGACTCGCGCTATGAATGTGCACTTTGCCCAACACCTCCAACCAGACGCCTGTGCGTTCTAGCACGAGGACTGTCCTCTCACATCTGTCGTAGTTCACTCCCTGCCC